TCCCGGCGTGTGCCAGCGAACTGTCCAACGACAGAATCTTGGCGAAGGTGGAAACCGTATCCATGCCTGCACCCAAACGAATCAAACACAAAACAACCAAAGTCGCCGACGTCGCGCCTTCCTTCGTTGTTCGAGGAATGTCCAATACGAGGATGGGGGTTGACCCCTGGTTCCGCTTTCAGACCAGGCGCAGGGCATCCTTCAACATGCCCAGGTTGTCCAAGCCCAGGTCTTTGTAGAGCGTCTTCTCCCAATCCTTGTCCCGAACGGCGTGAACGTAAACACCCTGCCTGCCGCGTAGAGCCTCCTCGAGGGCCACCGATTTGCCGGAGCCGTGGCGACCGGCGATGATCGTGGCGTGGCCTTGCCAACTCCTGAGTCGAGTTTCGATACGTTCGACAACTTCTCGTTCCGCTACCATCGTCTTCGCCAGCTCGGGTTCGAAAGCCTTCATCATTTTAGCCACTGCCTTCCGCACCTCACCTGCGTCCGTCTGCTGGAATGCTCTTGAGAAGTTTCCGACATTCAGGATGAATGTAAGCAATGAAATCATAAGGGCGAAATCGGCTCTGTCATGCTCCAGCAGGAGCTTCTTCCAAATGGAGACATGCTGATGCCCTCGAGCAAGCCATGGGAGCCATGGGGGCAGACCCCGTGCTCGGAGCTTCGGTGGTGGTCTCTCCAAACTCCGCACAGTTCCTCCAAACAACGTAACCTGGCTTGCGGCATGGAGGGATCTATGAATCTATGAGTGCCTGCACGTCGAAACCTTCGGCCTTGGTGGCGGGCAATGCTCGACTCACAGGAGGGTGCTGCGTCACCTTGCGCACCTGCAGCAAGATACTGTCTCAACACCTCCAGCCTCCTCTGACCGTCTCCCGCCTGCGCCACGAACGCCGGCGCCACGGCGGTCAGCAGAACCAGCGCGTGCACTCCAAGGCTTCGCGATGCCATGGCGGACGAGGAAAAAGCCGAGATCGCAAATGAGGTTCGAAAGCCCATGCTGCGCTACGGTAGGACCCCTGACAACAAATTCAGTGCAAAAAAAAGCCTTCAATCACGCGCTCCGAAACAGCATCGCGCGCCGCCCTGGCGCCAAGCCTCGCGCCGGCCGAAAAAGAGCGCTCTCTCGGACTCCGCTCAAGCCTGCACAGCCTGAGACGCTGTCGCAGTGATCGTCGCACATGCCAGGGACTCAAAGCCTCCCGGCCTGCTGGCACGTACAAACCTCTCCAGCGTTGGTACTGTGGCGAGCAGGAGCGGCCGACCAGGAATCTACACAGACAGCTTCAACACACCACCATAGCGGACCGACTCCGGCCTGTGGCGGCACGAACTTCGTCGCCCGCCAAGCAAAGCCAATGCGAGACTAATGCGAGCTTCGAGTGGGAACGTTGCAGATCGCTGACGCATCCGCGCTGCTCTGTTCAAGAGAGCTCTAGTGGCAAAAGTCAATGTGCAATCGACACACAACACTGGCGGAGCAGCAGTCACGACCCAACCTGCCTCCCGAAGCGAAGTCGCGACCAGGACGGCCTTGCCAGCATGGCGGGGTGGGGGGGCTTCCGGAGACGTGGGAACGAGCGCAGCACTGCCTCAGAGCCCCCCGAAGCCTCAACCCCCAAACGAAAACCACAAGCGGCCCCTGAAAACCCCAAGCTCGACACGGACCTCGGCGAGAAGAGGATGACGGCGACGAACCTGGCCACCAGACCGGAGCTGCGGGGAGAGGACGGGGGAAGTGACCAGGGAAACCGAACAAACCCCGAAACCTGGCAGACGGACTCGCTCTAAACCTGGCAGTCGGCTCTTTGCCTTGCCCTTAAAATCAGAGCCAAGCAAATCATGGAAGCCATGCAAAATCGTGCAAAAACGTGCACGCCCTAGCTATTTTAGGGGCACACGTCCCCTAAATTTAACAGGGCCGAAAGCGGAAAGGAATGTTTTACTCCTTTTAAGGTTCTTTTTTAACGGTAGTGAGGGCTAGCCAAGAAAAATCGGTGGAGGCTTAATTGAGCCATATATGGCTTAGAATTGCACACCCTCGCAATGTTCAACTTTGGCTAGGGCGGCTAGGGCGTGCTTGCGCTGCTTAGCTTCGGCAGCGGCTCGCTTCAGAGCGACTTCGGCCTTCAACACGGAGCCCTGGAAGGCCTGGGCAAGCTGTACAAGATTCATCGTCATCGTCTCGTATTCCCCTATCTTCGTGGGCACGCTTGGCTGTGGCGCTGGTGGGCTCCGGGGCTGCGGCGGCGGTCCAGCGAAGTCTCGATGTTGTCAGGTTCGCCAGGCCCCGCCGAAGCAGCAGCAGCCAGGGCCCAAAAGCGGAAGTTTGATTCACGTTGTTCTGATGTTCACTGCGAGGAAGCGGAAGTGCCGGTGTGGCCCTCATGTTTGGTCTGTCCCCTGGCCCGCGCCAACATCGACACTGCCAACCGGCGGCGGCGAGCACA